GATGTTTGGAATGCTTAGAATCAACCGTACTCATGCGGAATCTCCGAAACCCAGCCACACAGCCAAAAGCAGTATGCACTTAGCAAAGCACGAAACCGGTAACTCAAAATGCATTTTCATCAGACTTTATGCGAAAGCGTAGTCCAAGAAATCAGCCATCTTAGTCGTTAATACCGGCTAAGAAACAAGTGTAAGCGAAGGAGGAATGAGGGTCTTAGCACAATTAGAAAAGGAGGAATAGATATGAATTGGAAATCACTACAAAACACGTATGGCTGGCTTCGCCGATGACCACATAGAAATTTTCAGAATGAATAAACGGAAACCTGAAAACAGTACGGCTCAGAGTGCGCTGATCAGGCGAAAATGAGGAGGGAGGGTCTCGAGCAAGCAAAAAAGTAGGATGCATGTGCACATTTATGACATTTTAAAGCAACAACGTAGCAACAATTGCAGCCAAATCACAGAATTGCGCAATGCAACTATTTTAGTGTACGGTATTGTCTACTAATGCGGTGCGATGCACGCGCCACAATTTCACTACGCGCAATCGAGCTGTTTTCTACTCTCCTACTCTTCAATACTCTCTAGCCCGCCGCTGGCAAACGCTAGTGAAACGCTGGTGAAACGCTAGAATACGCTAGCGTTACGCTAGCGTACGCTGGTGACGCTGGGAACGCTAGATCGATATCTATCCTTTCCCCGACACTGCCGCTGGCGTACGCTGGAAGCGCTACGCTACGCTGCCGCAAAGTATGAACACAGCCTTACAGCGTTATCGAGAAGTCTGAACGCTGCCTGACAACAGAATGTAAAGAGACCGGGCGCAGTAATCGAAGAGCCATGGCAGACCTGCTCCACCCACACGCTGGGCTTGGGAGTTACCTGCAAACGCCTTCCTTACCACTTTTGTAAGAGCTCGCTTGTTTCTGGATTTTGGTCTGCTATCAGATGATAGGCCTAGCTCCGCTCACACGGCGGAAGTGGGAAGTGCCTGTAAGCGCAGGGTTCACTATTTCCATGAAAGATCGCTAATTAAAAATAAACATCGCCTTTATTAACCGTATGCTAACAAACACTGAATCGATGCATTCGAATTCATTCAATTATTGCTGAATCTGTCGGTACAACGCTGTCGGGGCTTTTGTTTGATGAAGTTGACATTGTCAAATAATCGGATTCGCCCCGTACTGTGCTACCAGTGATAACGACGGTGTGAACACCTGTTCCAGGACATTCGAATTTCGGTTGCAGTAGAACACTTTCCAGAATGGACCTGAAAATTGATGGTGAGTATAAGCGCTTACGCCTTCGCTCTCCCTCCTCCCTGCCCCAGGAGTGGAGCAAAACGATGCTGACCTGAGAGCTCTGGCGCCAGTTTTCCGTTGAACGGCTCGTCGCGCTAATTCATTTATCGCTCCTCGAGTGAATCTGAATCACATCACAAATTATCACAAATTTTGGAAGCTTCCAGGATGTGGAACGCCCACTGTCGAGTATTCTTGATGCACGCCTGCGTTCGACTTTCATACGTTATTAGTGCTGCTCTTACCATCATGCACAAATTTGCACAAAGTGGTCACCCACCGTCTCTCGGGACCCTCATTGTTCTGACTGAGTGGGGGAGGGAGCTGGGAGGGTTACCTCACAAGGCGCTGTTCGGCTTGGTAGGGGCAGGTACAAAATGAAGAATGCACAGGCCGCCTTGTGGAGGCTTGTAAGCAAAGTGGCACTTACTTTTACCAGTGCACAGTTTCACGAGAAGAGAGAGACAAGAGTTTAGAGGCTTCACTAAAATGAGACCTGTCAGTTAATATGAACTAGCAAAAAGCCCCTCTCAAGCCGAAGAGCGAGTGCAAGGTACACTGCCGTTGCGCTTCAAGAATGAAAGATCAAGCATTCGACATTCACCAATCCCTTTTGCTATACCCCAGCAAATCCACAACTCTTTTTGTCCCGTTTTTGTCCTCAAGACACCAGACGAGCCTTCCTCGTCTTGGGTCGGCCAGCAGATGCCAGACACGGCCCTACTAGCTGACTCAAGATGAACGAAAGGCTTGCTTGGATTAGATGGCGTCCGACCCACAGTTCAAGCCCTGGACCAAAATACAAGTTGTTAGCTCACTCCCGAAGACGATCCTTGTCAGGTGCGAGGTGAATTAGTGCGCGACTGCAGTAGCGTGCTACTTTCTCCGTTCAAAATTGCACGGGTACGGGGCTGAAGGGCACTAGTACCCGCGTGCCGTCTTTTGATTCTATCTGCCCTGTTCTGAAGGAGCAAAACTAAGTTTGTGCATCGAAACACGTACTCAGCGGTAGAGAACAACCAGATGTGAAGAGGCGCAGACAAATAGCGTCTTGCGCTATGGTTATGCGTGTGACTGGCCGTGCGACAGACTCGTGGAGACTGCATTCCTAGATAGCACCACCCAGAGCCGCTTTTCTTGTGCAGAGGTGAAGTGGCACGCTACGGACCCATTCATCTCACACAGGACCACCGAAGGTACAATTTGTTTTCGAGCGGCACCAAGTTGCAACCACAGAACAATCTCGTTTACGCTACAGGAGCGCCGAGAGTTTCATTTACAGATACCACCTCGGTTTGACCAACCTTAGTTGTATACTGTCCATTGCGAAGAAACGCTGTGCCTGAGAGATAAGGCTGTTACGAGGTTCCTGCAGTACTCGAATCAACATCTTTTCGTCCAGAGCATGAAATGGCACGAGCACTGGAAAGCGCCCAACCAATTCTGGCACCATTCCAAACCTGAAAGCGTGACGAGTGCTGTTACTCAAACTTCCTGCAGAAAAGAGATGTCCGATCTGTTGTGTGATTCCCGACCGTGGTGGCGTAAGTGATGGCCGCACTCGGCCGGAAAGCGTGCGCTGCGGGTTCGAGTCCCTTGCCTCGGGTCAACACTTATGCCTATAACTCTTAACTTTTGTGATACAAGCCGTTTTGTGCGAGATGGGCCTATGTGATCTGGGTTCCCTTGAGCATACTTCCCTTTTCAGAAGCCTTTTTAAACCCCAAATCAAGGCTGAAAACGTACTGCATCAGATCCGACTGATCGATTTGCTGTAGCACTTGGTTACGCTTTTCGGCAGCGATCGATTCATCAGTGGAAGCAAGATCTTCAGCAATGTTAGCGAATGTTGCACCAAAACCGAGCACTCTGAAGAAAATCATACTACCATAGGTTATCTTAACAAAAAAATTACTATTTTGGAACAAATACACTTTGTGCAGCTCTGTTCGCTGCCGGATGCTGGGGCGTGTCAGGGGACTGGTTTAGGGGGCGCCAGCCTGTTCCCCAGGAACGGAACGAGAAAGCGACAAACGGTGGAGAACGGGCAGGCACCGCGCCAAGCCCAGCCTCCCTGACACGCCCTAGTGTCAGCAGCGAACAACAGTGTGAGCATCACTGACCGCTTGTCAATTCGTCGTGCCACGATCTGCTCAAGATTCGAGAATGCACCAGATGCGATAAACAGGATATTCGTAGTGTCGACGTCAACCTGATGAAAGGCGATTAACCAGTTTAGTACAGAAGGTTGATTTCAGCTGCCCAGGAGGGAGGGAAGGAGGGCGGAATGCATTTTCAAAGTTTTATCATCCTTGCCTATCGGAGCGTGAAGTGGAGACATCCCTACGTACATACATTTTAGCGCGCCGTCGTTCCTTCACTGAATGTCCGCCTCACGGTGGCTGTTGGAAAGGAGCTAGCGCCACGCCAGAACGTACAGAAGTAAGAACGTCTTCATGTGACCCAGCGGTAGCGATAGGCGTATATTCCTCAAAAAGTGCAGACAGACCTTATGCCCCATTTGTCCGGGCATTTTCACCTTCGCTACGGTCCCTTCGACGAGTTTTAAAAGAGCTTGCTGTACACCTGGAATTTCGCTGAGACTTTTTTCCGTCAGTCCTCTGATATAGTCACTTCAGAAGTTCTTCAAAAAAAAACTTTCGCGGCTACTTAAATTTCGACAGTTACCGGGCGAATTTAATGACAGATCATGGAAGGAATGTGAACGCACCTCTTCCGCTCACGTCACGATTTCCGACAGAGTGAACTGGATCGCTTGAAGAGTGAATTTTATCGAATTCGTCCAGAAAGACAATTCCTTGCTGAAACGAGCTAAACGAAGTTCAACGTTAGTCGGTTAGTATTGTGTAGGACCTCGATGGTCCATTGGCTTATGAGATGGAAGGATGTTGGGCGTGGACTGGTGCACTGATAGAACCATGATTAGGAACCCAGACCTAATTATGGAAGGTACAGTCCGTGGTAACGAAGAGATGGGCGGAGATAGTCAACAATTGAGCGGCATCCTACTGCTTCAAACGCGATGAAGAGGAAACGTGCGTCATTTACTCTGTCCATTACTCTCTACTCTACTCTTGCGATTATCGTAAAACGTTAGGTTTGAAGAAAAATATTCACCTGTGCTCTTTCGACGCTACCGTGAGCGTTGGAGAGCAACTTCTGAATCACCGTCTCCACATCTTCACCGACATATCCCGCTTGTGTCAGAGTAGTGCAATCACACATTGCTGAACGAGAAGTACTGTATGGACTACAGCCTTGTCGCTGTGGATGCTGAAGCCCTTCAAAGGGACTGGGTGTGGCGCCGCGCCAGGCTCTTCTCTATTAATTGGGGTCGGATGCCAGCTTCCACAGTTGGTGGAGAACAGAGTGGCTACCGCCCAGAACCCAATGCTGCCCTAGGCGCCTCAGCGTCTGCACCAAACAAACAGTTATGAATTTTATATACCTCTTTTCCTTTGCTCGCCTTGAATTTTTCCCTTTTTTTCTTTTTGGTTTTTTGACCCTATTTTGATATTTCAGGCTGCGGTTTATATTAGGTTGGCGGGAAAGTTCTGTCACATTTTTTCAAACAAGGCTTTCTTTTTATAGAGAGGCGTACAAGATCAAAATTATACAGCAATGTCATTGCGGAATCCCTGCCAGTTTTCGAGCACTTCGTGGATGCCATCGCTTCACAATGGAGGCTGGCACGACGCAATGTTGGACATCATCTCAACTTTGACTTGGGCTCAAGTCGTGGAGGTTTTCTCGGCTGTATAACGGTTAAATACGGGAGGCGACTAGCAGTCAGAAAGAGCAATGTCTGGGGTACACCAGTGCAGAGGGAGAGCCATCCAGCTCTTTTGCATGAAGTACGGCTCGAACTTTTTTTGACGGGGTGTGCTGCACCAGCACGTTGAAGACGGACTGTGCCGATGGATTTTGCCCTCTGCTTGACGATTCGCTTCAGATCTCGTAGCTGCCTTGCGTACGGATTAACGAGGAGACAGCTTCTTTTATACAGTAGTTTCCCGGCCCACAGCTATCTCAAGCTGAGATCACAGGTACTCCCAAACATCACTTCGCCATTCGCACCGTAGCCTCCCGCTCTGAAGAGCCAGCGTCGTGGAAGATTGTCAGATGACTGTAGACATTGTCCATGTGCAGCTCCGTTATTTTCGGTCGTCCGACACAAAGCTGTCATGCTGGCGGCAGGCGCGGTAGAAGAAGAGTTATAGAAGGAAGCCAGCTTGCGCAGGTCGGTGCCAAAGTAGCGGTAACATTCTTGTTCATATTTTGCACGATAAGAGAGGACAGGAGTCAACCCCCGGTGATACCCACTAGAACAGAACCAAATTCTTTGATGTATAAGATGCTCATATTCTCGGTTAAGGACGCCTTTTCAGAAAAGTTAGCGAATATTTTAGCGGTTCAAAATATATAGACAGAAAACTTTCTCGACAACCTAATACTTTGCGGCAGCGTAGCGTAGCGCTTCCAGCGTACGCCAGCGGCAGTGCCGAAGAGAGGATGCATATCGATCTAGCTTCACCAGCGTCACCAGCGGCACGCTAGCGCACGCTGGCGTAGCGAGGGCACGGGAAGCATAGCTATCGATCTAGCTTCACCAGCGTTTCTCGAGCGTTTCTCCAGCGGCACCAGCGTTTTGCTAGCGCTTGCAGCGGCAGGGAGTAGAGACTATGTGGCCGTCGGAGACGCAGAAGCGATGTGCATTGTAGAGACTAAGGGCGAGTGAGAGACGCGCAATCGATGTGTTTTGTACCCTCCAGCTCTCCCATAGTCTCTACTCCCCTGCCGCTGCAAACGCTAGCAAAACGCTGGTGAAACGCTGGAGAAACGCTGGCGTACGCTAGCGTGCCGCTGGTGACGCTGGTGAAGCTAGATCGATATGCATCCTCTCTTCGGCCCCTAGCCGCTGGCGTACGGCTGGAAGGCGCTACGGCTACGACTGCCGGCAAAGTATAATACGAAGCCTTCATTCTTGAAGCTAGGCGCTGCCAATTTTTAATGCGTTCACACCGCGAGAACAATTGTAGAATGTGCAAAATGACTATTTCATAACTGGAACTCACCAATAGGAACGTCAAGGTAGTCGTGCTAAACACTGCGTTAAGTAGGTTTTCCCGCTCCCTGATGGTCCCAGTAAGACTATGTTGGACTTGTCCATAATTAAAGGCGCCTGAAACGCAGTTACTTTGAGGATTCTTGGATTCTGAAGATTTCATTTGTTCCAGGGATACCGGTAGAATGGATGTCGTCCACTTCGCCCGAGAGGTCAGGGCAACCCCACTGCGAACAGTTGGAAAAGACTCGCACTTTGGCTGTCTGTGGTCCAATGCAACGCGACGAACGCAATGCGGATCTCCTGGGCGACACCCCGCGGTATATACCCCTAAGGCAGCTTACCTTTTGAGCGTGCATTTCCTAAAGCAAAATCCACTGTCCTACTCTCTTGGAGACGTTTCAAAGGTCGTTTTTCCGTTTGAGAGGTGGCAGCGGCTCTGGCCTGTAAGTAGGGTTTTTAGCTATTGTCGTAACATGTAGTTGTCTGCTCCTTTTTGGAAGATCTTCATTTGTGGGGTTTTCGCACCATTTAGACATACGCCAATATCAAAATGAAGTACAATGCTCGCGCCTCCCCGCACATATCGGGATATTTAGGGGTATGGATTTTCAGGTGGGCTATAAGAAACCCACATGCGGCTTCATCCTACCGATGGTGGTGCCAAAAGCAGAAAATGCCGCGGATGGGCTCATTCCAGGCCTCATGGCTTCTCCGCACGTGACGTACCAACCGTATTTGCTAGCTAAGGAGCACTATTACTGAAGAGGAATAGCTATGACCGGCAGGGGAGAGCATTTCAAGAGATTAGCGCCATTTTCTAGAGGAATGCTCAGTTTTCAAAAGCGATCGACCTCTTCTAAATCATAACTCGACTCACTCATACAACTCATCGAACTCCTGATCTTTTTCGTGTTTCTTCTGCTCTTTAGCGTGTACAGCGGTTTCAACTGCATTTTTAACCATTTCGCGCTGAAATGAGGGCACCACTAAAACTTCTCACTATAGAGACCAAGCCAGCGATACATTCCAATGGAAATTAGTTTCAGGAGCAACTATCAGTGCTCAGTTCACTACCATTCAGCTTCCAGAGGGCATAGAAAAAGACTGACATTTCTTATTTCAGTGTTGTTTTCCAATCTCTTATAATGCTGATAAACTCCGACGGCTAATGTTCGTTTTGCAAGTTCCTGACCAATAACATATTTGTCCAAGTATTTCACTATTTCTCTGAAAATGATAGATTCCGGAAATTGACGGCGGGCCTCGAATAGGAGCTGCTCTCACTTTGGATAAGGAACTTCGAATTTGAATTCTTCGTCGTCCTCCCTGCCACGAGGAGGCAGTAACGCGATTTGATTCTGCAGTACAATTCCCGTGTCATCGTTAAGGAACTACTACAGTCTTGTTCGCTGCGAATACTGGGGCGTGTCAGGTGAGGGGGGGGGGGGGTAACCGAGTTTGGCGCATCGCTAGCTTGTTCTCCATCATATGCTGAAAGGGGGACGACAACAGTCGCTTGACAAGCACAAGAGTCCGCTCAACTTAATTTGGCTGCGGCGCCAACTCAAATATTCGCCCCCCCCCGTCGTCCTGAAACGCTCCTAACCTTCGCAGCCAACAAGACCGTCCACCACACAACAGGAATTTCCTTCTTCACCAATAGTCACTTATTTGAGGTCGCTTGGCAGGACGACGTTCAGGATGTTCCGTGTAACTCTTTTTGATAAAACGTCGTGGGAACCTCCTGAAAGCTGTGTAACGGCCGCGCTCCAAGGTAATTCCTCAGGACTCGTCGCATGGGCAGGAGACGAGAGTCGTTGTGCCTTCCACACTGGTGTCTGCCTGATACACGGTGAATTAGGGATAAGGAAAGCACAATGGCAGACCCTGCTCCGCCCTTGCAGGCAGATGTGTACTCCGTCGAGCTGCGTACAAACGGCAAAGGCAATACCTCACTATCATGTTTGTATCTTCTGTAAAGTTTGACGATGGATCAGTAGATAGAAACCGAGTAAATGAATCTGAATTCAGCGCAATCTAGACTTTTTACGAGATATTTTCCCAGTAGTAATACCACGCGTCACTTTCAAAAGGGAAAATGAGTGAAGCGGGAGATTAGCACCTCTTTTTTCCCCAGACGGATCCATTGAACATTGCATTTAAAATCACAGTCACTTCGAATCTCACTTGAAGCCATCGCCCACGCTAGTCGTGTGGGCGTGATTGAGCCTTTCACTTCCATTCCGCACTGATTGGGGCACATTTTTATCCTAATTTGGTGAACTGGGACACCACTGAGGAAGCCTTGACGATAAGCAAGACTCCGCCCAATCTACCAGCGCTTATTCCGTCTTTGGACAATAACTCACGGATAACACTTGTTCATATCGATGAAACTAGCGCACAGAAATGAGCTCGATCCCAGCAAGGTCGTCAGGTGCCTTCGGCCTTCTCGGGCCGTCTTACCAGGTACACCTTCTGCGCCTAGTAATACTGATAGTGAACATGATATGGACCTGTTCGCTACGAACGCTGGGGCACTTCTGCGGGACTGGGTTCGGCGCGACGCCAGCCTGTTCTCAACTAAATATGGTCGCCTACCAGCTTCCACAACTGCTGGAGAACGGGTTGACGCCGGGCCAAATGCACTCCTCGCCCCCCCCCCCTGAAACGTCCCGGCGTCTGCAGCGAGCAAGTCTACATCAGGTCCCCTGAAATACACAGGAAGAAATTGCGTGTAGAAACGAGCGAGAGTGACTCAGCTGCCAATCTCGACCTCTTTGGGTTAGGATCCATCGTGAGACCAGAACATGACAATACTAGTCTCCTTTTTGAGAAAACCCTAGTCACTGGGCGATTCATATTCGACAAGATCAAGCTGACACCTGCGAAAGTTCTTTCTCGACTGATACCAAATTGTGTGTAAACACGGAGGAGAACAGGTTCCAGATTCGCTTCAGCGCTCGAAAGGAACACTCTGAGTCCCTCCTCGATTTCCCAGGTTTTGGCAGGCAAAAAAGCCGAACCGGGGTCGAATAAAGTAGAGTAGCCACGGAGAGGCTCGGGCAAGCTGCTCCGTAAGCCTTTCCTAATCGAAAGTACGGACCATGCTGCTGGACGAAGTCAGGTCTGCCACTGCGCCATTCTCATTAGTGAGCTTTTCCTTCTTGAGACTGTAAAGAGGATGAGCACATCAATGAGGAATACGCAATGGTGGACTGTCGCCATACGCCTGCAAAGACTGCACATCCAGTAAAATATGGATTCTGGTGCCCTGGAAGTCCATGGCGGCCACCCGTGCAGTGCAAAATCACTCACATTGAGTACTTGACAGCATTCCTCGACTGTGAGTAGAGTCTTGATGGGTTAGTAGAGAAATGAAACAACCCTACCGCACCCCTTCTTTTATGCATGATCTTTTATCATGGATATGATTATGATCCCCAAATGTTTGTTCGAAAAAGTCTCGTACTAAAATGAGAGTGTACGATGTCAGTGGTTGTTTACGACTGTTTGTTTACGTTTACCGATTGTTGGTACGATTGTTTACTATTGAAGGTAATTTCTAGCTTCGGTGCTCCGAGTTTTCCTTTTTGCGCGAAGCTTTACGTGACCATAGCGCCTCTGCTAAGCGGAAACAAGCGGAAATTTGTAGTAAGTAGTGCCGTTCGTTTACCACGCGCGTGATCCGGGAACTATCATAGCTCAGAATCGGTCCAGTCCACGGAAGCCTCCCATCTTAAGGGTCAGTCAATCAGCAAATCTGAAAACAACGTTTATTTTACCGTGGTCCGTCTGCAAAAGCCACGGCATGGGCCCGAGTGCATTCAAACCACGGCGATTGCTTTTCAAATGTGTGGCGCAATCCGGCTGGATTGGTCCAAGCCAGATGCTAGACATGCTTCAACTCCTCCAGCTCGAAAATCGGGACCATAAAATTTTTCTTGGTAGTCCAGCAAAAACACAGGAGGGATATGTTATAGGAACGAGACTGGGCTGTATAGGTATAGGCAACGACACTGGCGCTAGTACATACTTTTAGCGCGTCCATCTATGCTCGAACGGAACCCAGTCTAGGTAGCCTGTATCATTTTTGGTTTGAACGTTGGAAGCGCTGACCTTTTCAGTGACCAAGCCTGCGGATCATATCATGGCCCCTTTCTTGGGACCAGGTCCTAGGCAGCTCTGAGATCATCGGTCACTAAAGCCATGGGTTACAGTATAGTGGAGTGTGCAGTCTGTGGTGCCTCTTTTATTTGTAGTTACTATTTATCAGGAGATTAACTAGTATAGAGGAAAGGGAAAGAGGAACTGTAGGGAAACACTACAGTATCACCTACGGTATCTCGTAGATTTTACTTTTGAAAACACTGTAGGAATTCTTTCTTCACTATCCCCGCTTCCCAGCGAAAGGGTCATATCTGATTGGATGAGGAGGGGAGTCGTACTTGCTTTCGAAAAAATATTTTCGGTCGTTGACTTTATCCATGCGTGCATACGCCTTCCCCGCTCGACGGCAGCTTTCTGGGGAAAAAACTGTAGAATTTCAGGAGATAAGTGCTGAAAGTGGTGAAAAGTTGGGGACGATTCAGGAAGATGGTAAGTATGGGTAGAATGGGTGATGGAGGAGGGGAGGATCGTATCATAGGACGAATTTTTGAGGAAAGGTCGCATTCTACAAAACTTTCACCGACGGAAGGACGTGCTCTGGTGCTACCGTGGTCACCACCAATCAAACATATCCCCCCTCCAAGAAAGATGCTCCAAGGGTGATGTAATCTGCGTATCATTACTATCTCGAATGTTCGACAATTCGACCAATTAAATGGGTGGGAATTCGATGCGATCCGGTGACGCCACAATGGCGCAAGGATGGGTGAATGAAATCGGACCAACATGCACACCTGGCCGCATTGTCATCGTCACCAGCCCGAGACCGATGGACCTATTATCCGATCGTAGATAATAACTCTGTTGGTTTACTTTACACATCAATTACGAACGTAGTTGAATGACGCCATCACTCAAAGTCCTCCCTTTCTCCAAAAATTTAATTATTCATTCATTTCTGGGCTTGGCGAAACGCACTAGGGCCAAGAGGAAGGACTAAGGAGATAAGGCTTATAAAGAATCGAGAGGGCGGGCAGACATCCACATGGACTATAACAGGGATACAAAAGTGTGATAGCGAGGAACGGTCTTAAGTCAACGAGGAGGTCTCAGTAAGCAAGGGAAAGATGGCGTTTGACCAGAGGTGAACCCTCGGGATCCCTCAACCGCCGCGACATGGCGGGGCTTCCAGTCTTGGTTTTGAAGCTGAAACTCACTCGAAAAGGGTCTCCCACTAACTGATAAGGTGTGACAAGCAGCCGCGTGGGATCAGGAGTCATGCATCTGTCACACAACAA